ATTCGAAGTTAATTATTCAAATTTCAAAATGGCAGATCCAATATGGCGGACGAATTACAAAAAACATTGTAAAGGTCTGCTGGCCCATTGTGTGTTCGTTCTACTTTAAACGCGTTTTTCTCGAAACCACTTTTTTCAAACTGGGAGGACGGATTACTCGAACACCGTTGCATGGATTGATCTGAAAATTTAACAGTAACTACACAATAACCTTCTTTATGGAACTACGTAGCCGTTTTTTGATTTAATGTAAACTTTTTTTTTTATAAACAATTTACTGCTTGTTTTTTGGCAAAAAATCGATTTTTTTTTCAAAATGCTACCATTTGTACAAATTTTGATTTAAAAAAAAAAACCCCTACGTAGTTCCATATAGTCAATAGGGTAGAGTTTCAGAAAATTCTTGGATTTTTGTTCTAGGTCTTACACCTTCCTAGAAAATCGTCCTCGTAGGTGTTTTAAAAATTCAAGATTTTTGAGCCGGACTCTATCGCCGCCATTTTATATTAAAATAATAATATTAAATTTATTTTTTATACTTGAATATGTGTTAAATAAACCTATCTGAAGAAAAATCCTATTCCTTTTATCCTACTGCAAATATAAATCGTCAAAGTTAGGCTATTTTTCTTACCGCTAGAGTGGTGTTACCCCTTAATAATAGATTTTTCTAAAACTTTTCTTGCTGTTCTAATTTTTTCCTTCTTTCAGTGGAATGTTTTCATCTACTTGTTACAAGGACTGTTCACCAAGGATCTCTCTCTCTCTCTCTCTCTCTCTTATTCAGAATTTAACAAATCATCTAAAGCTAAAAGCTAGAGGATAAATTAATTGATTTATAAAAACAAAAACAGTTTTTACAGCAAAAAAAAACTTCCTCCCCCTGTGTTAGTACTAAAAATTTTTTACAGACAAAAAAAAAAGTTTTTTAAATTTCTTTCAAAAATATTTAAGATTTGAAGTGGAGAAAACCGCACTAAAAAGAAAATAGTAGCTCATATAAGAAAGAAATTCAAAGCTCAGAATGTCTTTGTTAAAATTGCTCAAAATAGGGTTGTTAAATATTTCAAATTCACTAAGTTAATGGGTGGAAAGACTTTCATAGGAAAGTTTTTACATTTCAATTTGAAAGTTTCAAGTTCCTGAAATATTCCAGCAGTAAAACTTGGCCAATGAAACATTTTAACTCTTACATTTTCTCCAGGAGTTCCACGTATACTTTTTTTTTTCTCTCCAATAATCACCTTTATGTACGTATATATATATATTTTTTTTTCTCTTTCTCTCTCTCTCTCTCTCTCTCTCGGTGGCTGTACGTACAAAGAAAAATAAGAAAATAATTCCCCCTTACTCCACCTTTGCTCAGTAACTCTTGGACTAATTATCGTTCTCGATCTTGTTCCAATTAGTGCTCCTCTAAGTCCGTAGACTGAAGGCACTCAATATACCAATGGAATTCATTGAAACGTCTCACCTTTTTGGTTCGCTAAAACTCTCTGACAAATCTAAACTGAGATTCATTAAGAACACTCTTAATGAAATTTGTTATTATAACTTCAAATATAGAAAATGGAAAAAATCGTTCAATTACATCATTGAGTATAATAAAAGATTATAACGATGAAAATAAATATCAAAAAAATATATTTATAAAATAAAAATAAAAAATAAACAAAAATAATTTAATAAAAATGTAATCAATAGCAATTAAAAAGAAAATAATGTACAAAAATTAAAATATTATTTATAACAATTAAATGTTAATTAAATGATATTAATAACAATGAAAATGTAAATAATAGTTATATTATAATATATAATTAATTAAATTTTCATTGTTATTAATTTCATTATTGTTTTAACACCTAATTGTAATAATTAATGTTTTAATTTTATATAATTACTTATTTATTTACACTTCAACGGACCAAAAACCCTTAAGTACAAAGTACTTAACAAGAGATAATAACAACTAATATAACAAAAATAACAAAAAGTAACAGATCACGAACACAGAAAATTATAAGGTATTAAAAAAATCTGCAACGCTTATTATTTTAATCCAATTTTGCTTATTTTAATATCAAAATGGATTAAACTAAGCAAAATTGGATTAAAATAATAACCCAAGTAGAAATATCCGTAGCTCGCCGTAATTAAACACCGGCATGGTACTGATCCAATACTGGCTGTCGGTATTGACTTTCAGTACTGGCAGTGTACTGACTAATACACCGAATCAGTACTATGTCGGAGGTAAAAAAATATTAAAACCAGTACTGGCAGTACACTGTCATTCACACCGAATCAGTACTATGTCCGTGATAAAAAACATTAAATGAAAAAGTCTTTAAATTATTCCAATAGGTAGAAAACGATGATTTTTTATTTAAAAAAATGTATATTAATTTCTTTCGAATACTTTCCCTCAAAATTTTGGATGTAATTGTAATGTATTATTATATACCTATATAAAATATATTTATGTTTTTTTAGTTATTTTAGTACTCATATGTGCATTAAGTTATTTATCATGCATACAATAACAATAAGTTGAGAATTTTTTTCTAATAGTTTTAAAAATAAAGCAAATGTAATTTTTTCACTGTAATTTTTAAATATTATTAATAATTAAATATTAAATTTAAAAAATTTTTCACCATTCATATTTTACAGTCGTCTTTTATTAACTTATTTTTATCATGTAATTGATCAATCATTTTTGTCTGTTTTAATATTATTTACGGTAAAAATAATTTATTAAAAATATTTAACTGAAATTGATATCCAGTTTTATTTCATTAAATCTTTGTAAAAATTGAAAAAATTTTATGAGTTTAAAAAATTTAAGAATAAATTCATTTTATTTTCGTGATCAATAGATAATACAAACTTTGAAATCAAAACTTTTGTATTAGGTGAACTACTTCAAGTCAGCACTTCAAGCCAGCGCGGCTGTGCGGTATGCGTATCTGACTTGCGTTCTAAGGGTTTAGGGTTCGATCCCCCATGCGTGCGAGATTTTTCGTTCTTAGTTTTAAGTGTTATAAGTACAATATTTGTTCATGTGTAATATCAATTATTAAATAATTATTAAATTAAGTATAAGTGCAAAGTAAAAAAAATTAAATATTATGAATTTAAAAAAATAAAAAAATTTACAACACAAATTATTTTTTGTAAAATAATTTATTAAAAATAAAATAATTTAATTGATATAAATGATAATTATTATTTTAATTATTTATTGTTAATAATATTTTATATATTCTAAATAACATTAACTATTATTGGCTTCACATTACCTGTTCGTGGTAAAAATGGGAGTAATAAGCTAATAAGGATGAAATTTGCATTGGAAAGCGTGTTTTAGCATTTTGTAAAAAAGTGAGATTTTAAGTCCGGATGAGTACTTTGCCAGTATTATGCCAGTATTATTCTAGTACTACGTTAGTACTGGTGAGCGGGACAAAATCAGTACTGGACAGCGTTACCAGCCAGGGTTGGTCCACTACTGGCCCAGTACGGCAGTCAGTACCGTTATACTGACTGGCAGTGTTGGGTCAGTACTATGCCAGTGGCACATTTCTACTTGGGAAGCGTTGCAGCTTATTTGAATGCCTTTTAATTTTCTGTGAATAAGATCACCACAGTCTTGGGCTTCATCACAAGAAATTCCAAACGTTTCAAAAAACATTAATGCTTTGAAATGCTTGTATTTCTCATTGGTTAGATCGATAATTGAATTTGCATCAATACTATGGCGACTGTATCAAGACGATCTTGGTTTTAATTAAGTAGAGGTTCAAAACAGATTTTTGCGTTTTGTTGCCATGACAAACTGGTTTGCTTGCTAATCATCTTTTTTTATTTAAAATCATCATCATCATTATTTAAATTACCTTTCATTAAAGAAAACAATTTAATAAATTCAGTAATCTACAGACTGAGCACACAGAAATAACTTAAGTCTCATACTTGTTTCTTGTTTAAAAAATTAGTTAAAAAAAAAAATTTTTAGGGGGTCCGGAACATAAAAATCACCCCTCTATAATGTATATTACTAATACTTTGTACGAACAGGCTTTGTCCCTATATCTTCAATAAATAAATATTTGAATATTTATATAACACATGAACAAAAATACAAATGGTTTGAAAGAAAATCCAATGAGCCAATTAAATCTTAACTTTCTTAATTTCTCAAAGTGACAGGAAAAATAAGTCGCATAGAAATGAAAGTTAGAAAAACAAAAGGGAGAAACAAATCTTATAAGAAGAATTAAGAAAGGTGAACACAAAAGAAGTAGAAATTAGTACTTAAAGATGGGAAATAAAACTAAAAAAAAAGAAATGAAAAAGAGAGAAAATAATACGACATGAAGAACAAAATAAAAGAATAAAGAAAAGGGGAGAAAAGACAAGAGAAAGAGAAAAAAAAGAGGGATGAGGGGGAGGGGGTTAAAATAAGAAGCTTCGTTTGAGACAAGATATATACACCTCTGGGTATAAACCACGAATTACCGCGCGACTTGAACGTTTCTTTGGATTGTTGCGCGGTTATACGTTGGATATATACACTTATAGGTACGCGAGTTTTCGTGAAATTATTTTATACTAGCAGCAAAGTTTTCCTTCCGCCATCTCTTTATAGGGAAGTTTCGCTTTATCATCCGCGTCAAATAACTTCTTTTCTTATACTGTCAAGAGTTCAGTGTATATATGGTGTATAGTCTATATCTTGCGCAAAGATTGTATAAACTGTCTGTATGAGAGAGTCAAAGTTTCGCTGACACCTTCTTTTATTTCATTTGTCATCGAAAAAGAAAAAAAGAAAAATAATTAACACCCCAAAAAGATCATTTCTCACTTTTGTTTGGAAGGCAGCGAATAATTATCAAAAGTTGCATCGTATTTCAAAAAGAAAAGTTTTATTTTCCTTTTCCGTTCGTTATAGAATCAATTAATTATATCGCTTCAATTAATTAATTATATTTTAATTTAAAAAATTGTTAGGAATTGAAGGATTTATATTTATTATATTACAGTAATTAAATAATAATAATAATAATATGTTGAAATACAATCATATTTTTCACTATTGCAGAAATTATTCAAATTAATAAATTTCTATTTATTAGTCATTAGATGAAGCACTTGTTTTCAAAGATCTGATGTTCACCCAAAATCCACCTTTGGGAGAATTAAGAAAAGACGATTCATCTCTTTCAATTGGAAAAATCATTTTTGATGAAATCTCAATGGAAAAATCTTTTAAAATAGCAGCAACTGATATTTTTATTAAAATCACTGCCAATCTCATTCCAACACACACTCGTGGTCCTTCACCAAATGGAAGAAATGTAAATTTATGTCTACTATTTTTTTCATCCTCATTAAATCTCTCGGGATTAAATTTTTCCGGTTCTCGCCAATATTTTGAATCCATTTGTAATCCCGAGAGGGATATTCCCACTTTTTGTCCCGGTTTAATAACACATGATAATCCATCAGTACCAATGAGTTTTGTTTTTTTTGTGCAAATTTTAAAAAAATATCCCGTTATATGATGCATTCTTTGTGATTCATTTAAAACTTTTTCAAAATATGTCATTTCTTTAAGTGCATCGTATGTTAATTTGCCATTGTATTTTTTTAATAAAGTGACAATTTCATTGCGTACTTTTTCTTGAATTTCAGGTTGTTTTGCTAAATTAATAATTAAAAAACTCATTGTTAGTGATGTGGTTTCATAAGTATCGACGGCAAACGATAACATGTGTGCTGCTATAATTGTTTCTTCATTTATTTTTGTATCATGTGATTTTTGAAAATTAATGACAAATTGCGCAAAATCATTGTAAATGAAATTCTCCATTTTTCTATTGTCAATGATGGTTTTTGCAATTTGTCGAAAATATTGATCAACTTCTATGGGTGTAACGGAGAGTTGAAATAATTTTGCCAATGATGGTAGATATAATCTAATTGTTTGTTGGAATACAGTACTAAATGAAGGTGATTCAAAAACTTTATCAAGCCTTTCGTTATAGGTCATTTCACTATTTTGCGGTTGTAATTCTTCAAAATTATGTGTCTCAATACCAATTGCTGTTGATGAAACTTCACCTGTGAATTTTTTGCAAAGTTTCTTGAGATTTGTTTCAAATTCACCATTTTTGCATTGTTTGGATAAATATTTATTCATTTTATCAGCAATTTTTGCAACTTGAAATGTTATTTGTTTCAATTTCATGCTGGAAAAACTGTGTGTATGTGGTGCACGTGCTTCCTTCCATTTGTCACCGTCAACAAAAAAAGGATTTAAACTAAAGAGTTCATTTTTATCTTGATAATTGAGTTTAAATGGATTTTCACTAAATGAGGAGAAATTTGTTAGTAGAACATTTTTAACGAGTTCAGGTTCACGAACTAACAGTACTGGCGAGCATAATTCATAAAATCCGTACATACTGTATTCTTTTGCCTCATTATAAAAATCTTCGCACAATGTTGCTAAACTTTTTTTTTCACTAAAAACCGGTAGCATGTGACCTAATCCTAGTACAATTCCATTGGCTGAAGGTATTTCATTTTTTTGAAAATAATTGTACTGTCGTGATAGATAAAAATAGAGGAGGAAAAAAACAAATGCCACTGTGGCAAAAATGAGTTCCATTTTTTATGTCGGTCTACAAATAACTGAAAGAAAAGTCAGGAAAACTACACAGTAAACTAGTAAAGATAACTAATTTTGTTATTTTTATTTTCAAAATGATAAGCAGAACTTGTTTAATTTACGATTGTTTCAATGTACGATGGGACGTGTAAAGGTCGATAATAAAAAAAAAAGTTGTTATCACTTTCGCAGTGTCGATTTTGAAATAATATAAACTATTAGAATATTATAAGGAAAACTTTACGTTACTACTGAATCATGCACCTCTGTACGATTAAAAAAAATTTTGTTTGAGTTTTATATGTGATTGTTGCATTTTGCTGGCAGGTCCATAAAAATCCAGAGAGACTATCTAAAATTTTAATCTATTGCATTTTTTATTTTTAGATATTTTAGGCAACAATTTTTTTTTTCCTAACATTATTTGGTATCTAAAATTGTTTTTCTGTGTAAAAAAACGTATTTTTAAATTAAATTATTGAAAAAAGAAAAATTTTATTTTTCGTAAATGTTATGATTATTTATTTATTTTCTTTTTTGTCGGATTAGTACAATTCAAAACATTTTTTTTAAATATTAATTTTTGAATATTTTTTGATAAAAGTTTTTTTTTTGAATTTTAAAATTATTTTTTAATTAAAAAAAAAAGAAATATTTCTCCCTTCGAAAATGACCAGGTTTCTGAAGAATCACCCATTTATAACTAAGACGTGAATATTGTGAAAGAAAAACAACGGATGACAAGGAGAATCACTCAAGTCATATAATAAAAAACATTCCTTCCTTGATTTAAAAAGCCCTTTGCAGAAAGAATTGGATTTTTATTCCGACGATAGTCACGAAGAATGAGTAACTTTTCTTTCTTTTTTTTTTTTTGATAAATGTTCACCTTCTGACAACACCGATTTATCTAGACATATGACCAACCACTTCTAAAGCAAATGTTTTCATTTTTATTTCCTGGGGAGGGTTTCTTTTTGTATAATTTCACTCATTTCAGTGTATTGTCAATTGCAAAAATATTAAAATTTTATCTAAATTTTAAGGTTATGTTCGTTTTATGATTAGGGAAATTTGAAGTTATGTTTGTCGGACATAACCTCAAACCCAACAGTCCATTGACCTATGTCCTTGAATTTTGAGGTTATGTTCGCTTTAACCTACATTTTTGACATATGATTTTTATTTTTGAGGTTATGTTCGTTTTAACATATATGTTTTTGACATGGTTAGTACAATCCTGGTAAAAATTTCAAAATCAGCGTTGGCGGCGGTGGCGGCAAAATCTTTTTATAATATAGAGTGATAATTATTATTTGATTTATTATTATTATTTGAATAAAATGGTACACACTAAAAAAGAAATCTTGATTTCAGCCTATTTTTGAGGCTGAATTTAAGGTGTAAACGGAGTCAGACCAATTAAAAAAGGACAGACTTATGCAAAATATATGGGCTTAATTTAAGGTGTAAACGGTTTAAGACTTTGTTTTTACTGTGTATTTATTTCAAATACAGAAATTATTGGTTCAAATAATAATAATAATATTTATTTATTCACGAAAAAAAATATTTACCTGTAACAGCGAAATGTTTCACTATGGTAGCAAAAGTTTCAACTTGTTTCAGTTAAATCTTTCGCTGTTACAGGTAAATATTTTTTTTTTCCTGTCTTGAAATAACATTTTAAATAAAAATTATTTGTTTCACGTAAATATTTATTTGATAATAGTGAATTAACAAATTGAATCAAATAGTTTTTTTTTCATTATATTTTCTTCAATTGTAATTTAATTTAAAAACACATCTTAAAATAAGAGTTTTTTTTGTGTGTCAATTTAATTTAACTAGTGAGGAAATGAAATTATTTTAATCCATCTTAAAAATAAAATTCTATCACATCGCTAAACTATAAGAGTCTATTATTTAAAGTAGAGCAGAATATTATTTTTCCCAAGTGCACAATTTTTTCCCTTTTTATATTTTTATTGTTTTTTTTTTTTTTTTTTTCCTGTTCCTTATCTACATGCGTTCTTATAAGAATTGATTGAAAAAGTGCAGCTAAGGGGAATGTTATAAGAAAAGCATTACGTCATCTAGTGAGAATTTATTGCAGTTCTTGAATCCAGATTCTATCGCGGGATCCAAAGGCGGAAGAAGATGGCTGATCGAGTAGTGGGGAAAAAGTTGACCGAACGAACCGCACAGAATCGGGAACCGCGATCTTTCCACGCGGGAGAATCTCCTTCCTGTTATCTACTCTCTCATCCCGAGGGGGATTCCCGCGGGACACACACATATATATATATAAAATATAGGTACTGTTGGCATGGAGAGTTAACTTGGAACTCAGTGGGACGCAAACCGAAGAAAGAGTTTCTGCTTTTACTTGTCTTACTCACTTCTCGTTCCCCTGTCACTACTTTCTGGACCAATAGCTTCGTTTTGCACGTATCTGATTTGTACCATCTAAGATATACAGTATTTTTCTTTCTCTCTCTCTCTCACTCGGAAATCGAAATCGATGAATTCAGTGGGAACATCCACTTATTTCAATCAAGAGGAAATCTACTCAATCCCCACTGGGATTGCACTTATGTTTCTTTAGAAGTTACTTCAATGTTTCAACGATGATCAAAATTAACGAGCGAGTTGAAATAATTCATTAAATTAAGAGATTCCTTTAAAAGGATATCAATTAAAGGATTGCAAGTAGAGGATTCAAGTTCCGAGTTCAATATTTTTTTTTTTATCTCGTTTTAGTTAAAAATAATTAACAAAGTGATTTCTTTTTCTTCTTGTTTGCATCGAGTTGAAAGTTAATTATCAAGTTAACTGATGCAAAAAATATATGTATATACGCATTTATATATATGTATATATATTACAAAAAGATATCACCGCCTTCGTTGTTTAAAGAACACAGCCACACAAAAAAAAAAAAGTACCCGGGCCGGGGAATGAGACCAACATTTCTTGATGTATTTTGATGCGCTGAACACGAATCTGAAGTCCGTTTAGCTCCATCACGTCAGGATTTTGACATAACCTCAAAAAACATAGCTGATTTTAAATGACAGGAGAAATTTTTTAAATAATGGCAGATTTGCTTGAATCTTGTTACTCGGGGGTTTTTGGGGTCGCTGATTACGAATTTAACGTCAGATTTATAAAATTCAAAATGGCGGATCCAATATGGCGGACGAATTTTTAAAAAGTAGTTGGATTTTTACAAAAATTGGTATCTTGGGGTTTTTTTGGAGTCGCTGATTACGAATTTAACGTCAGATTATTCAAATGTAAAATGGCAGATATAGTACGGTGGTTAAATATCTTTATGTTTCTACATGTGTCTGCATCCAGGGCACCTCCACGCGGTGACGGTGGGCAACGGAGTTTGTCCGCAATCCGTCTAAGTCCCTGGATAACGGCTTTGATGCCGTCATGGCAGACACACGTAGGAAACGTATTACGATGCAGGGACTCGGAACCCCAGTATCGCCCAAGTTACATAAAAATTCAACTATTTTTAAAACACTCGTCCGCCATATTGGATCCGCCATTTTGAATTTGAATAATCTGACGATAAATTTGTAATCAGCGACTCCCAAAACCCCTAGATACCAATTTTCGTAAAAATCCAACTACTTTTTAAAAATTCGTCGCCATATTGGATCCGCCATTTTGAATTTTATAAATCTGACGTTAAGTTCGTAATCAGCGACCCCAAAAACCCCCGAGTAACAAGATTCAAGCAAATCTGCCATTATTAAAAAAATTTTTCCTGTCATTTAAAATCAGCTATGTTTTTTGAGGTTATGTCAAAATCCTGACGTGATGGAGCTAAACGGACTTCAGATTCGTGTTCAGCGCATCAAAATACATCGAGAAATGTTGGTCTCATTCCCCGGCCCGGGTACTTTTTTTTTTTTGTGTGGCTGTGGAATCAATGTTATTAGGTTTATTAGTATTTTGCCTCAGATTTTAACCTCAAAGCCAGCGGCATTTTGACTTAGAAATTAACCTAATTTTGAGGTTATGTTAAGCGATTTTCACCTCAAACTCAGCTACCTTTTGGCTTAGAAATAGGTCTAATTTTGAGGTTACGCTTTCAGGTTTCATACTATTTTAGTTCTGATGAGTTTTAGAACGAAATTTAGGTTCAAAAATATTAACAAATCAAGATTTTAATCTCAGCGGATTTTTGAACTATAAATTAACCTAATTTTAAGGTTCTTTTCGTAGATTTTAACCTCAAAACCAGCGCCCTTTTTTGCTTAAAAAATTTTCAGGTTATATTAGCCGATTTAATCTCAAACCAAGCGGGCACTTGAATTAAAAATTTATCTAAGTTTGAGGTTATGGTTACCGGTTTTAACCCCTTCACAGTCCAGTGAAAATAAAGTTTTCGTGCCATAAATTTTCAAAAAAAAAATATTTTTTTTAAACAAAACATTATCATATTGTATGTTTTTGGGGTCGCTGAATTCACAGAAAAATAAAAGGCATTAAAATAAGCTGCAACGCTTATTATTTTAATCCATTTTGGTATTAAAATAAGCAAAATTGGATTAAAATAATAAGCGTTGCAGCTTATTTTAATACCTTATAATTTTCTGTGTCCGAATTATTGGTTGAAAATAAAAAATTCAAAATGGCGACCAAAAAAATTTTAAAGTTAACGAATATGGCTGAAAATTTTCAATTTTTGGTCGTCATTTTGTAGCCGCCATTTTGAATTTTTCATTTTCGACCAAAAATTCGGATTCAGCAACCACAAAAACCCCCGAGTAACCATTTTCAGCCAGATTCGTTATCTTTAAAATTTTTATAGCCGACATTTTGAATTTGTTATTTTCGACCAAAGATTTGGATTCAGCGACCCAAAAAAACTCCCAAGTAACCATTTTCAGCCATATTTGTTAACTTTTAAATATTTTTTTTCAATGCTGCTATAGCAGTCAGTGACAGTGAAGGGTTTAAGCCTGCTTCCTCTTGACAAGGTGCTGAAAGTTTTTTTTTTTTTTAATATATGGG